TCGAGTACAAGGCCTTTAGCCTGAAGAGCACAAGAACATGGATGCTCTGAAGGCAGGTGCTTCGGAGTGGAAGGAGGCCCAAGAAGAAAAGAAGTCAACGACACGTCGTGAGGAACCGACGCTGGGGCCGGTTGTCCAGGGTGCGCACCAAGTTGTCCAGTTTGCTGACATCAAAGTTTGTCCACATCAAGAGGAGTCGTCCACTCTGATACATTTACCCAATCCCGTAGGGAGCATAGATGGTGGGAGGCGCCATCAAGGTGGAGCCGCCGACTGATTAAAAATCGAGTTTCGAACACTCCTCAGCCGGTCGTGGATATGACAGTCAGGATCAAGGAAGAAGGTCTGTTGCCAACAGTGCAGGAAGAAACGACACTCGAAGAGAAGACCGCACCTCCGGCTCCTACAACTCCGTCTTCAACACCAGTGTCGGTCATCCAGGAAGCAGGTTGGCCTGGCTGTTTGCTCTCCAACTTCGAATGTGGATTTTGGATCACGAGAGACCCAGATGAACGAGGCCCAGGCAAAAACATGCGTTGCGAGCCAAGTACGACGATGAGAACGTGAGCTGCGCGAACGAGTGTTGCCACCCCGAGTGCGATACACTTGACCAAACGTTGGCCGAGAATTCGAGCCGTGATGGACTGCCATGATCGCGAAGTCATGCCATCTTGATGGGCGAATGACATCGGCAGCCCTGAAAGGAAGCGTGGATCTTCGATCTACAACTCGTCCGCTCTGATTTGCCTACCACACACCGATGAGGATCCTACCGAGCATGGTGTCGCCATGAGACTGTGTTGCACTCATCCAGACACTACTGGTTGGGGCTAGCTTCTGTTTCCAAAATGTAATTCCTGAATGGTTCCGCTCACGGTCATCGCACATCGCACTAAGCGCTGTCAGGATGGTCGTCGAAAGCGTCAAACACCGTCTAGCAATGGAACTCATCGAATGACGCAAATTTGCATTTGGGTTGACGTACCAAGTGGTGAGCGTCCAGGGGAGCCCCTGACCATCCAGGATTATCACGCAGAAGACACCGACGGAGATTTACTCATGACAGATCATGAGGCTGGGATCCTAGTTCGAGAGTTCGTCTTGCAACACCGGATGTCTGGCCGGAGAAGGCTAAGAAGTCTACGAGGATCCCCAAGCAGTGAGCCAGCCCCAAAAGACCACAATATGAGCAACCTCGTCCCCTGTCTCTATCCACACCGTCGCTGAGCACATTGTTGTCGTATCATTCATCGGATACGAACGGCCAGGACGTGGTCACCTTGAATGAGACTATGTCCGCCATTCAGAATGTGTCATCACGAGCAGGATCGGACCTTGTCTCAAGTTTGTTCGGCACATTAGGAGGGTCCTTCGAGTCAACATGCAGCCGTACGTCAGGATCGACATGAGACATCGTCTTCGTCCGTGTCGTCCCTTGGGCAACCTGCAGCCGGACGTATGTCATTCAGAGCGTATGCTCGACGGTGATGACTGCCCAGGATGTAGCCGTTCATACGAACTCTCATATCGGCATGCAAGTGGGTCAAACTGTTCTCTCTTAGGGATGGCCAAACTCGACGCTGTTGTTATGTCGGAGTCGGTCAAGATTACCATTCAGAGCGAACGCAAGTCGAGACATTCGGCGCGTCGATCTCAACGCCAATAAGACAATCGTCCATACGGATCATCCATTGGCGCTGACTGCGAAGCCAGACGCCCATGAAGCAAAGATACCTGAAGCCATCGGTCATTCAAGAAGATGTCGAGCTGTCGGACGCATTCAGATCAGTCCAGTCGGCGAGTTCGATCCTCCATGTCTGGGGCGTCCCAAGTCCATTGGAACACGATGCACCAGACTGAAGAAGCCCTGGCTCACATCCAGTCAGAACTCGCCCATATGCACCAAGCTAATGAAGTTGTTTTGGCTCATTGCACTGAACCTACCGTCCTGGACGATTGCGCAACGCAAGGGAAACCGAAGAAAGAGTCAAGGCACAGCGGTTTTAAAACGACAATAACTTCGGTGAGCATCTGAGGGTCCATAAAATGCAGGATGGGGCTGAGCGTGCTCGCAATTAAATAGCGATCCTCCAGCACCAAATGCGTGAGATGGAAGCTGAACATGATCAAGAACGGGAAGCGTCGAAGCGTATCCCCAAATTTCAAGTCAGTTCGTTGCGAAACCTTCGAGCAACCTCCACTCAGGTTCAACAGGCGACAGTGACTCCTGTCCTTGACTCGATGTCTCAGATCAAGACAAAATCGGGAATTGCGAACGTCCAGCAAAACGCAAGAAGCCGTGACGCGGACAATGGCGCCATCAAGATGGAGAACTTCAGTGACAAGGAGGCCGCGGCCGCCATCACGAACTTTTCCCTGGCTGCACAACTCCAGGCTACCCTCCGGAGTGTGAACGCGGGGAAACAGAGAACTGCGACTACCGTGCCACAGCGGTAAAAGCTGAGGTTGGAACCAGGGTAACGAAGGCCCTCGTCATCAGATACACCAATGTGAAAGTCAAGAAAGCTGCATCTAAGGCGCGTGCGTCCAGGAAGACCCATCATGGCGGATACCCATCCGACTCTGACCCGGGCTCTAAAGACGACGACAGCGACTCTAGCTCTGATGACTCGGTAGCTCCTTCTGTGAGTCGCTCAGCGATATGGTGGCTCCCAAAAGCCACCTAGGCGGCACCACCACGATGACCATTCAACATTCGAGACTGCGATCTCTCTGGATGAATTCGACGAGAAAGCTTCTCTCTCAGAACGCACTCACTGGTGGGAACGTTTTCAGACGTTGGCTTTCCAGGGCGGATGCAGCGACATAATGAAAGTTGATGATCTTCGCCTCAAGCTGTCTTCTCCAGTAAGAATCTGGCATTCACAATTGTCTCCACATGTGCGTCATGACTGTACAATGTTCTCTAAAGAATTCAAAACAAATTACTGTAAGTCTAAGATTTCCGCCTCAGAGAAATTATACACCATCAAACAACGCAAGGCGGTCCCCCTGAATTTTTGTATCGACTGAATGCTGCGGCTGACCGCGCGGACATTCGCTATAAGAAATTGAAGCGAAGCCGTGAACAACATGTTAAGCATTTTACACATCGGCTGGCGGATTAGCAATTGAAAAATACTCTGAAGAGTCAATGATTCAAGAGTATGGATGATTTGGAGTATGTGCTGAAATAGCAAGAGGACGATTGAGACGACGACAGTCAGAGCGTCCCGTCCACGACATGGGATTTTAGGGCGGACAACCTCCGTCAGGGGCGACTCATAACTAAGTACCCAGGACGAGCGTACGTCGCTCAGAGAGGCGACGAGGTTGATTCTGATGAACGACATGTGACGTTCGACAACGGAGCTCCTGAGAGTCCCACAATATAGGAAGTTGCAAAGTCTCGAGAGATGTCTATCGAAAACCTAGTTCTTAGGATGACCATAGAAAACTGACTAAACATGTTATCAAGGTCATGGAGAATTCAGGATGGAACAAGCCTAGGCATACGGCACACCAGAGAAAAGTCTGTCAGAATAATGGGCATCCAGGATCGCCATCGCCGAGGTATGACAACCATGACCGAGACAGGCGTTGTGACAACATCCAATGGAATTGGACATCGTGCTGAGAACCTGATCTGCAAAAAATGCCATCGCACTGGCCATCCTACATAATTATGTAAGACCTTGTCGTGCAAGAAATATGGCAAGTTCCACGATCGCCGCTGTGAAGATTTCGGGATACTGAAGTCTTTTGTGTGGTTGGCCCCCCGGGGCATCGTGAAAGACCTACCCAGCCTAATGCTAGATCGAATCTTGGTTGTGAAGGCCGATCCTGGTGTTGGGTCGTTAAACCACTAAGTCCGCTGGATGGAGATCAAGTATGCGAAGACCTCAGGATTGTACGCCTTAGTATACGGCTGCCCTGGGTTGACGACAAGAACCAAGATAACCAACAATGCATGATTTCTACGTTTCACAATCCCATTAGTTCAGGATAAGACCCTTCTGGGTTGCTTCATGCAGATGGAATTTACCCAGGGTTCTCTGTGGGATTCAGGCTATGGGATGGTATACGTTGTGGGTCACCAGCCAGGGAAGGAAAAACGTAGGATTGCTACGGTTTATGGTGCTGTGGTTGACGTAAGGACCCGGATACCCCTGGACACCGGAGCGTCATTGAGCATCATCAGTTGGAATTATGAGAAGACCCCGACCCGGATCTGGAGAAGTCAGGATGGCTCCGTTACAAGACCCCCCTCGCAGTTCAAGACGTTGAGTCACGGAGAGTTGATAGGCGCAGGAACGCAGACGGAAGAGCACCTCCTGACGACAACCAAAATGGACGTCTAGATACATGTCAGTGAGGGTCAGCTAGACAATCACGAATGTTGTTCTGGTGAAAACAAAAACTGATGACGACCGAGGCGATACCCCTGGGAGTATGCCTCCAAAATCGAATCGAATATGAGGAACGACAAGGCGTCGAAACTTCCGCTGCAAGACACTATGATCCTGACGATCCAGGGTTCCTCCAAGAACCAGAATCCTGTACTCCGTTCGAGAAGTTGGAGTACGAACGCTGTATGAGGGTTAGCGCGGAAGGGTTGGATTTGAAACCAGGTGTGTATATACATTAAGGGAGCGAAATGCTGGCACAATTGCGAGATCAGTTGGTCATGCTGTCAGAAGTGAGTGAATTGCACCCAAAATGTGATATCGACAGACCAATGTGAAAGTTCTAGGTGAGACCCCCCGAAGGAAAATCCAGGATGTATGTCTTCCTGAAACGCCATCGGAAGATTTTTCTGGGTGATGGAAATGCCGCTCCAGCTCCGCTAGATGGGTGTTATACGACGGTAATGTAGGAGAAGCCAAAGCAAAAAAACTCGCGTTGCGTCCAAGGTTGATTGGACTGCACATGGCAGTCAAGGTATATGAACTCCTCAAGAAACAGCTCGAGAACAATACGATTTAACATTCAGAATCGCAATGGGCATCTCCGATCTTGATCGTACTCAAGAAAAATGATGTGGACATCAAGTGGGTATTGACTATCAACGTGTGAACAACTTCATCCAGCTATCCCGTTACCCGCTACCTCTTAGTAGATTTCGAGAAGGCACTCTGGTTCATGAGTCTGAAAATGGCAAGCGCTTTCTGGGCAATCAGGATGACTGAAAGAACCAAGCCGATAGCAGCTTTTGTATGTCCGTTTGGACACTTCCACTGGATTCGGATGCCGTTTACACTAAAAAATACACCTCTAATTTACCACCAAGTAATCAACAAATTCATGTGAGGATTCATGCGCCTGTCGCCAGAAAAACAGGCTGAAGTAGACCACGAATTTCTGATTACCTGACATTGGACCCCCAGGATGGCGGACCTCTAGGGTGTGGAATTCCAGGGTATACCGGTTGCGAGAACAACCATACTCCTCGACTATTACCAACCTTGGCGGACAAAATGACTGTGTTTAAGACGAACATCCCTGCTCCGACGCAGATCTCACCTGTCCTGGGATGTAGCTCGTACATTGACGACATCGCACTAAATAATGTGGGCTCTTGAATGGTCTAACCATGCCGCAAGCGGTGGGGGATTCACGAATTGTCATCCAGCAAGTATAATGGTTGATCAACTGTAACCTGCCCAATTTGGAGAGGCAACTGGCCGGTTGTGAAGCACTGAAAATGAATTTCGATTCGGTGAGATTAGTACCCGTCAAGCGAGATTAAAACCAAGCGGTGGACTATCTGCCGTCCAAGACATTGTTGCTTGGGAAATCCTGGAGTATTTAAGAATACGGGGAGCGCCAATACTTGGAACGGGTATCCACGATTCAAGAGAAGTTGATGAAGTCAGCAGAAGCTTGCCCAGTGAACAGTCATTCAGGCCTGGATGCCGTCCAGGATGAGGAAGGCTGTTCAGACGTTCTTGGAGGTCCCTCCATCCTGGTCGCCATGGCGGATCCACTGCCATATGCAGCCAAACGCTTGGTTGCCATGACACGAGCTGGCGTCGTAGGCAGGCAACCATCATCTGAATCTTTCGTCCCTTTTGCGTACCAACGCGAGATGTAGCGATGGATTAGGTACACCAAGTACAAGACAAATATCTGTGGGATTTGAGAGATTTCCTGAACGGAGAAGTTGATCGTTTCACGCCACGCTAGTTGTGGAAGATCACCAAGGTCGCAGACTTATTCGCCTTGGATTCCCGCGGCGTCCTTAGGTTAGTCCAGCCCAGTCGAGGCAGCCCTCGAGATACCCAGGACGAATGGCACCTGATAGTGCCAACTACCATGTGAGAAGATATCCCGCATTATGCCATGAGGATTTTCAAGCGGTCACCAGGGCATCAAACGGCCTCACGATAAACTGCGCACTGAATTCTATTGACCCGGGATGTATGCAGACGTGGAACGGCATGTCAAGGATTGTGTTGATTGGGGTAAGAGGCATCCGTCTAACCCCGGCCTGGAAATATTGAACCAAGGCGACCATTTGAAGTGGTATCGATGGATTTCGTGACGCACATGCCGAGGTCAGGATGAGGAAATACATTCCTGCTCTTATTCCGAGACATGTTTTCAGGATATGTGATGTATACGCCAATCCCATCCACAATGGCTCAGGGTTTAGCTGAAGGGTATGATGAACGGGTGCTCAGGATGTTTTACGCTTCAGAAAAGATCCGCCACGATCAAGACCAGAGACTAATGAGTGGGGTTTTCACTTGATTCAGGGAATTCCTGGTAGTCGTCAAAGAGTTATCGGTCCCATGCTAATGGAGAACAAGAGTATTTTGTCCAGTCAGTCATTCGGAGCGTGCGGGCGTATGTCGTTGAAGCTGATTAGTAAGATTGGGATGGCCATGCTCAGCGGTTGATGTTTGCCCTGCACACCTATTTCGATGCGACTCGCCTGAACACATCATTTTATCTGGTCCAATGTTGGAACACTCCTAACACTGTATCCTCCATGGTGGGACCTGTGCCGACCACCTATCCAGAGCGGACTGTGTATGAATGGAGGAGAAAGTTCCGGCGCGACTATAGTTATGCACGGGCGTGTGCAAAGGACCCCCAGAAGAAGACAAAATGCATGACATCGGAAATATAGATCCGGAAATGAAGAGAGCTTTCCGAGCGTTTGAAATCTGAATTCGGCGACGCGGTTTGGTTGTATATACCCATATTGCAACCAGGATTGAGCCACAAGCTGGCACACTTGTGGAATGGTTTTAAAGATTGATGAAGATGACGATGATTTCAGGGTAAAGTTGAAGATCGATGGAACTGGATATCGTATGAATCCATAGGTACCTATCGGTGGTCTAACGCCGCGGGGGCTGTTTCCGAAGGGATCCATCGACGAAGTCATCCTGGATAAAAACGACGACCTGGATGCGCAATTGATGCCTGAAGATAGCTTGGAAAGCGGGCAACCAGAATGATGTGTATGAAGTGGATCGAAACCTGAATCTCCAATGGACAAAACGTATCCGTACATCCAGAAAACACGCGAGAATATCTTGTCATGAGAAAGGGTACGTCGATCCTGAATGGATACTTCTGTCGCAAACCGACTATGGAGCCCTATTGAATGAGTTTAGCCAGGGTGCCACCCTTCAAGGCGATGCAGGCAGGTGATGACAATCCCCAGATTGGGTTGAGCTCATCTGTCAATCCTGGATGGCCAACTGACTCTGACCCATATTGATGAATCTTTGGGATCTGTCTCGATTTTGTGAATACTTTCGATTAGTGGATTATTTTCTTGGATTACTTCATATCTCTGGATGCCTCTACGTCGTTCTGAATTCTGGATCGTGAAAATAATTCACGTGATTCTGAAGTGCATTCTGGATTAAAGGAGGCAAAGGCAACCAGAACGAAGTGAAAACGACATATATTAGTATGTATTGGTTTAGATCCACGACGACTCAACTTACTGTGACGAAATATTCAGTTGGTACTTCAATCATATGTGCGCGAAGCCGGGGTATCCCGACGAGCCTTCTGGGGAAGAAGGCTCACTGACATCGACTTGGAAATATGCTCCACCAATTCTTCATCACTTGTTGCGGCGCCCAAGATGTCGAGCGGCTCTGCCAGTAAATATGAACTGCCAAGACCTCTGAAGAATCTTGGGTTCATGAGAATCCAATAAGAATATTCCGCCGGCAGCCACCAGTATGCGCCCCCCAGAAAGTCGTGGATAACACGCCCTCAGGACCGAGTGGTTTGCGTGATTCTCGAACATAGCCACCTAGAGTTCCGTAGCCAGTAGTGCCAGAACGTCAGCCAAAACAAGCTTTAGAGGCTGGATACCACCGATCTGGTTTGCGCATAGTCCGGGAAACCCGCGGACTGAAGTACCACATGAGCTGACGAAGGATCGAACGTCATCCAAATTTCATATTGACACCAGGGTGAGATTCCAGGACCGTGAACCTCCTCGATCTCAGTGCCTACCACGGTAAGATTGCCTGAATGAACTTGTGTCATAGGTGACTGGTGGCGCAGACTATCAGAACGCATCCGTTTCGGCGGTGTGCCAGTCGTGGCTGATTTGCTGGTGCATCAGAATGCGATCAAATAGAGTTGCGACGACGTTTCGGGGCTGAAGCCACACTATTTACACCTCGGACATCATCTTCATCCTAGATGTCGGTGCTGTCATCCGAGTTGTAGTTGCATATCATCATGTACGCTGCTGGTATTGTCCATGACTTCCTGGTCCACCCGCATGTCGACCTTTACTAAGTCTGGCCAGTATTCAGGATGAACCCCCTCGTCATGCAAGAAACCCAATCGTAGTTCCGCCTGGAGGTAGTACCATTCTGGGACGTATTTGGTCTAGAATGATCGTCCAACATCATACTTGCCACCATTTCGGTGAGTGCCGATGTTGGAAAATATTATGGGTCATGACGTCACCATTCAGCTTGGCTATAGAGCCTTGGTAACGGATGCCCGCCAGCATTTGCAGAAGCACATTAGGGCGGTCAATAACCCACGCCACTGGCTCGTATTTCATGGTCTCCCGAACGTGCGACTCCGAATAACATTAACGGATTCGAGGGAGAGCGAACTTCGTCAGAGGAGGGAGTCCATCCAAAAAAGCGCAACTGTGGATGGTCGGGGGCCTTACGTGAGAAATCGGGTGACACCTTTTATTGGTGGGTGTGGTCTTCGCGATGAGGCTTCACTGGAACTGGAATCCTGGTGTGTCAAGTCGACGTCGTTGTCTATGCCGTCCTGAGTATTTTTGTCCTGGGTGCCGTCGCCCTGGTTGCTAGTTTCATCTTTTTTCTCCCCATCCAAGTCATTTTCAGGAAATGTGACGAATCGTGAGTGTGACGAAGTGGGTGAACACTTCACCGTCCAAAGGTGTATAGCGTGCCCTGAACGGATTCGAACACGAAGTCGTTCCGGTAGTACAAGACTCGGGCTGAAAACTAGTTCCCGTCCGGGTTGGCGTGTGCCTTGCGTCAGTCCCTATAGGTTTGATTAATTCGAAAACCAGGAATAACACCGTAGCAGTGACTTACAAATAGGATATATAGAGATATAAGAGAACTTCCAGGACCTCCTCGTCCTAGTAGTCCTGAGTGTTAGTTGAGAGATCACGGGTAAAGACCTCCCTCCAAACGTTAACCTAAAGCAATACAAAAGGCCTAGATGGTATACACAGAGTTTGTTATGCAAATACACAGCCTGTCAGTTATTAGACACACCGAATACAGGTAGATTTCGGGATGCCCTTCGCGCTCCACTCCTGCATTAAGACAGGAGAATCAATATAAGCACCTTCCGTTCACACCGCAATCAGCAATATAGATCCAGGGGAGATCGCTATAATCCTCCTAAATCGCAGGGTAATATGAAATGCAACTGAACACTCGAGGGTATCCAGAGGCAACTTGGCAAATGAAATAACTGGATCAGCCCGAGTGTTCAAGCACACCGGTCCCCGAGTTAATTTAGCTTGTGAGAGTCTTCACGCGTCCCGCGTGGCCGTAGTCAGTCATTGGTGTGGTAGCTCCTTGAGTCCTTGACCCCTTAGGTTGTCTCCCACAGGTCTTCTCCAACGAGGTGTCCTAGTGACACGGTTTCTGCGAACCACTTGCGCACTAAATGGCAAAACAAACTCTCATTAACCTTTAACTATCAAAGACTTCGTCTTAAGGCCTATTCTTCATGATCTTCAGATTCTTGCAGTGTCCTGATCTCTGAATGATCGAATTCTTCGGTCTCTGTTGTCTCGTGATTACACACCGCCTGGATGACTTGGTCTTTGTATACTTGGGTTGTCACATCATCGATCAGCACATCTCTTGTTGACACATGGCCATCCTTGAATTGGCAGCATCAGCCGACTCTTCACACGGGTCTCATCTCCTCTTCAGTATGGTATCCAGGTAATCTGACGTCGGTCCAGCTCGGCCTTTGTCGGCACTGACGCATGTCCTGTCGGGCATCTTGGATCTCCACATCATCAGCCGAATAGTCCACCTCGGCATTCAGGTTGCATTCAATTCAGGTTGCACATAATGTCTCAATT